CAGAATCAGTAAAACGCTTAAAGATTTCTGACAGACAGGAGGGAGGCAAATCTTTCTTTGCATGAGAGGAGTAAGAAGTGTGTGTGGGGGGGGGGAACCAACCACCCCACCAGAAAAACAAAAGTAAAATCCAAACCCGAAACCTTCTTTCTGGACCAGGCACCAGTTTACCAAATCAGTTGCAGTCGGGCACTAACCAGACAAGGATGCTGGGTCTCCTGGACAAGCAGGAGGCTTCTCGGATTATTGCTTTCATACTCCCTCTTGTGGACTGAACCGTCAAAAACTAATTGCAAGGAAGAATATTCCTAAACTTTGTTCTGTTCGTTTTCAGATCCAGTTTAAAATTCTGAGAGGACACAGCGAGACTGTGAGCTCCTGCCACTTTTGCTTTGAGGACACAAAAATACTTTCATGCTCTTATGACAGAACAGTGAAGCTCTGGGTATGTTATAAACGTAACAACGATGAAGACAAAAACCAGAACATCTCAAAGCTGAAATAAAACAAGTAATATCATACAGGCGTGGACACTGACTGAATCATCCAGGGGCCTTCTAAAGATGTTTTACTGAGGTTTAAAATATCATCTGTAAATGTTTTACAGATAAACAGTAAAACTTCTATTTCATACTTTTAACCGCCTTCAACATTAAAGGGTGACCCTTCTAGGCATCTGCAGCATGCACTGGATCAGAGGTCTAGGTTATTAATATTTCAGAAGTGTAGTTTGATGAACAAACCTTACTCGTTTTCACCTGGAAAAAGAGTATCCTTTCATCCTTTTTTATGGTTTTTTTCATTTGATTTTTGGTGGAGAAGTAGTAAAAGTTAGGGATTGTACCAGAGCTGTCAGCGTGGCTGTGATGCTGCCACACCTGTCACTTTTTCTTTTATTTAAATCTCGAGTCGCAGCCTTTATTTTCTTTCTTCTCCAACGCCCTTAAGTGGTTTTACAAAGTTAGCTAGAATTTCCCTAAAACTCCAGCCACACTGGGCATGGCAACAGCAAGATCTGAGTTGGGGAGATGTGCAGATTCTGGGTGATCAAATCTAAATGTATTCTAGAAGATAGCTTGGAGGCATACGGTTATGCAAGCCCTTGAATTTTATGCAAGCAGCTGACTGTTTAGCTGTGCTAAATAGACTGAAGGCACTGAAATCCAGCATATATTATACAGTCGTGACTTGATTCAAGAATTGGTAATGAGTTATGGTAATGCCTTAGTATCATATGAATACAGATAGATGAAATAATTTCATAAGAAGATCTAAGGTACTGCATTCTTACCAATGCAGTAGTAGGTTTCTGCCATGATCAAAGCCTTTTTTTCAAAGGTACTGAAAAAGCAAAAAGAACCCCCAAAGCGTACAAAGTGCAGGCAGCTCCCTAGTTAGCGCCGTTGTGTTATCTGAGAGCTGTGGATGGCCGGATCCAAGAGACCAGGAAGGCGAGAATGAGAAGAGTGAACAGCCTCTTCTTTTAATGATCAGTTCCGGAGCGACTCCACTTCCAGTGGAGATCTTAAGGAAATATTGTAGAAAGGAGAAATATAAATAAGTGTATCTCAACAAGTTAGTCATGATATTTTCAATTTAATGTTTATAACTGTCAGATTGACAGTTCCAAACAGTCCTACTTTGTCTGAACTCAGAACTCGAATTTGTGTTTTTTCTGTTTTTAGTCAAATTCTGCCGTTTATTCTGCCATCTTACATGTAAGTAAACTGAAATCAAGACCTGGAAATAATAAGATAATCCATTAATTTTTTAAAGCAAAATAGATCCACTGATGATGATCTTTCTGCCAGAAAGGCTGTAGTATGCCACTTACCTGAAGTGCAGAAGGATTAGTCTGTCCCATAAGTTTTGTTCACCTTTGTTTGTTATTGAAGAAAGTTGTATTCAATGTTTCTTGAGTGATACTTATTTCTTGGAATGTACTTAAAATTATTTGCCTGAATATTGAGAACTTTCTGAAACCAACCTATAGGCAAGATTATTTTAATTTATGTTGATAAGCTTTATTTGGTCTCGACAAGCGTAGTTTCCTCCTCTGCAGAAGTAGCTGAAGCAATTAGAGTTCAGGAGAGGGCAGACTGGATCGCAGCAGATGGGATGGCCCTGACAAATTCACTTTGGAGTTTCTTTTTCCCCCCTTGAAAGAGCAGATCTCAAATGATTGAGTGTACTGAGAAAGCATTTGAAGTTCCTCTTGAGAACAGAAAGTATCTCACTGACAGTGTACACACATCTTTGGAAAACAAAGATTAGTAAGGTGCACAGCAGACATAGACTAGATAAGACTAAAGGGGCAGTTCTGACTGCAAGGCTTTCTTTGACTCAGAAAAACAGAAGAACATATGGTAAGTTTGATCTATTTTTTCTTCTTCCATCTTGGAGACATCCCCAATGTTTCCAGTGTCAGTTATTAGACTTGTAGGGCATTGACATACATTCAGAAAATAAGTGAAAAAGTGAAAGATAAATTCACTTTTATTCCAATTTTCTGTGTTACTGAGAGCTATCAACTTAGCAGGATAGCTCCTTCAAATGAAAGTCCCCGTGAAGAAGCAGCTGCTCTAGATCTTAGACTCTACAATTCATATTAAAAATGGGAAGAGGAGGCAGAGGTGCAAAATGTTCCTCATAAATTGAGAACAAGTGAAGGAACACAACATGCCGTGAAGGCAGTTCATGGTGTCTGGTTACAGACAGGTTCTGAAACCTCCTGGTACTTTAACAAAGATCTAATTGAAATAGTTGGAATAATCAGAGAGGATTATTTACTTGGATGGAGGTATGATGACTGATCCTTTGGTATTTTGATCTTTGAGTTATTCTGCATGTCAGCAGCCCTCTTTTTTTGTTTTTCATGTATACATTCAGGCACTGTGATCCATTTGTAAAACTTGATTCTTTTTTTTTTGTGTTACCACGGAATCTCAAGGCTTTAGTCATGGGCTGGGACTGCGCTATACTTAGGACTTTATAAATGGAGGGAAAAAAGATGTTCCCATCCTGAAAGCACTTACGATTCTCTGAGTAACAGACAACAGATAGATAGTGATGGGAAGGAGATTAATAGAGTTCTGGGTGTGCTGGATTAAGAACTCTGTTTCAGTGAGGTCAGTCTTGAGGTGACAAGAAGGAATAGAGAGGCTGAGATTTTTATATGGAGAGAAGGAACTGTAAGTAGAGAGGTAGATCTGTGAGTTACCAGTATGGAGCTGGTATATAAGTTTATGTTTGCATGGGAAAGGCTACGCAGAAGTGAGACATAGCAAACAAGAGACAGGAATTAGGGACAGACCTTGTGAAACAGGCGCAGAAATGTAGAGGAGAGGTACCATGGGCTACTTCAATGCCATTCTTAAGGAGCAGTTAGACAAGCAGGAAAAAAGGAGAGAGAGAGAGAGTTGTAGGAAGCAAATCAAGATTTTAGGAGGTTGAGCTTCGTCTTCACTGTATAAGGGAGCTTTCAAAAAGGATGAGAATAGAGTATTTTTGTGAGTATCGAGCAGGAAGATATCATTACAGATTTTGTGGGAGCGCTTTCAGTAACACACAAGGGTTCAAAGCCAGATTGAAGAGGTTTTGTGATGAAGTTGGAAGAGCGAACACCAGACAGCACTTGCAGTGAGCCTGTTTGGTGACCTTAGAGAGGAAACGGACAATGTCTGGAGAGATAAGTAGGACTGAGGGCAAGTTTGTTTATTTGTTTGCTTTTAGGATGGAAGGCAGTAATATGTGTCTTGATTTTGAAAAAGTTAGAGTGAGAGAGAGGATACAGGGAAGATCAGAGGATAGATCACTGGATCAAATGAAAGGATAGTAGAGGGAAAGATACTGGAATTTCTGCATATTTGCTGAGCAAGAGAGCGAGGTAGGAAATAAAGGGAAACAGAAGACAATCTGTTCTGGGGATGATCACGCATTATGTCAGTTTTCTGGTGAATGAAGTGGGGGAAACAAAGGCAAGACAGGAAGAGTAAAGCGGAGATGATGAACAGGTGATTCAGACTGTTGATGTGAGATTCATTTCCTCGTAGAAATACAGTTTACCCAAGAGGATGGCACGTGTGAGGGAGAGCAGAATGGTTTGTAGTGGAAGAATTAGATGATACGAATGAGACTGACTTCATTGATTTCACATGCTTTGCTTTACCTCGTTTTTGTGAAGCTTTGTATTTTTTCATAGTCTCAGCAAAACATTGCCTAATCAAATTTCTTTGAATTTATTAAAGGATGTTGCCAAAGGTTTTCCTATTCAAGTTTTTGAAGAAGAACATACAGCCCCAATTTCTGAGTGCAACTTGAGTCCTGATGACAAAAGGTGACCTTTCTGCTGCACGTTATATTTATAAAAGAGGAGAGAGGTGGTGTTTTGTGTGATTTAAAGGCTCAATTTTATGGCATGTGGAAACGCTAACTGCTAATTCTCTTTGTCTTTGTACTTTCATGTATGCTGCCAGCATACTCTGGCAGCAGTCTGTTTACTGCCAGGCTCCTTTACCCCGCGTGCTGCCATAAATCTCACCTTGTTCTCACCCACAGTTTGTATTAAATCTTAAATCTTTTCGACTTATGCTTTGAATTTGATGTCCACTGAAGAAAATAAGAATCTTTTTATTGCCTTAAATATGTGTTGGAATGGTTCAATGAATTATGACCTATTTTAGGGCAAAAAATTTGTCTAATACTGCTTGTGAGTTATATAGTGCTGGAAAAGTATCTTCACCGTATGTTCTCAAAGGGGTATATGCATATATAGCACTTATATAAAAGAACAACATTGAATTAGCCTAGGTTCAGAGGTTCTTCCATCAGTGAAACTTATACCTTCCTAAAATTTCTCTTCCGTCTGTATTGTTTATGAATGTTCTACAGCCTTTCCATTAAGCCTGTCCTGTCAGTTCAAGAAGAAATGCATTTTATCCAGTGTCAATCTCGGCCCGTAACAATTAAAGCAACTGCAGCACATATTAACATTTGGTTAAGTAGGCCATGCAGTGCCTGCAGAGGGGTGCTATCTGGCATATTTTATCATTAAGTCATAGTTTAAATCAATTTTATCAGGTCAGAAAGTTGACTTTTTTGGTCAATGAATAGCGCATGCGCTAAGCTGCCTGTTGCCATTGTGTATGTTTTTGAAACTGCTAAACAGCAAGTAAAATACCATTCTGTAGTGCTCTGGAAGCTCTTTTCTAATCAAAAATACTACCCGTTCATAAACTGAATGTGTCCTTTTGTGTTATGTGTGTCCATTTAGGAACAGAGATTATGTTGTATGAGGTAGTATAAGGAAGTATATACACGTATGGAGAAAATAAGAGATTTAAATAATGTAACTGTATTTTTTTTTTATTTGTGAGGATATTAATGCATAAACTTTCTTGGGCAAAGTGCATAAAAATAGCATTTTATGAACCTAGTCAAAAGCTTGAAAATGAAAAGCCACAATGGTACTAAAAATATTGATCATATTCTTTGTCAGTCAGAATAAATGTTATTTTAGATATTTGGAATGTTTTAATAACACTGTGGGAGAGAAATTTATTTGGACCTCCCATTTCATGGAGACCTGCCAGTTTCTAGTAAAGTTTATTGAATAGCTCTGCTGTATAATGTGGCTTTGTGTCTGTGCAGAGCAGCATCTGTGGTAGAGGGTTACCCAGCAACATAACCGCTGAAAATGCAAAAAAGCCCATAGTGACAAGAGCACTTCACATTCATTACAGAAAAGACATCATCATGACTTTAAAATTATTCTAAAGTTAGGAATAATTAAATATCTTATAATAGTATGAAATAAAAATGAGTTGACTGCTTACATTAAAAATTACAGATGTGATATTTTTATAATCAGTTTCTAACTGAAGTATAAATAATCCTTTTTTTAAAACTAAGCTATGGGGTATTTTTTGCTGCAGTGTTTAAAAATGTATTTTAAATTAGTGGGTGTGAGGATGTCGAATCATTGTCAGAAGTAAAATTTCTCATGTGTTTTTTAAATATGTTCTTTTAAGTGAAAACACTGATTTCTAGTTTCATTAACATACTTCATTTTTAGAGTGATAACATCATCACATGATGAGACTGTCAAGGCTTGGGATATGGAAACAGGAAAAATGCTTGTAAGTATCCTTTTGAATACCTCTTGCAGAAGGTAAAATTATAAAATTCATGTTCATTGCTTTGTTATCGATGAAGAAATAATACATTTTTTTTTAGCACAATATAATGTAGTTGAGGCAGATAGGCTTGATTTCTAGTCCTAGGTTTGATACTGATTAATTGCTTGATCTTGGCTAAGTTCCTCACTTATTGCAGATACAAATGCATATAATAATAATAATAACCTATCTCAAAAAATATTTAAGATTGATTCGTTTGACACCTTGGGAGTTGAACAGGGAGGTCGTATCTAATTTTAAGTTCATTGCTAATGCAGAAATATAATTTGACTGAAAAATTGGATATAAATACATCTACCAGGATTCACAAAAAATAAAGCAATAGCAAAAGCCTTCCTTCTGAGCTTGCTTACAGATAAGAGAACGTCGGTTGTAAAGGAGTCTTACCTTTAACCCTCAAGCACGTTTCTGAAACCTTTTATTTTCTTCTTTAGTGGACAATAGAACATGAAGGCATTGTAACTTCGTGTAATATTTCTTGGGATGGCAAATACGTGGTTTCTGCTTCAGACAGAGAAAATGCCATACATGTTATTGATGCAGCAAGTGCAGCAGTGGTGGCACATGTCCGAGGTAAGACTTACCACTTTTACGTCTTTTTTTGTGCAATTCTTGAATGTTTTGATTGTTTACAAAAAGGTTAGAAAATCTAGTTAATTCAAAGTCAGATTCACATATCCTTACTTGGGAAAGGCAAAAAAATATGTGTTGTGTCTTGTTTGTTAAGATATTAAAACCAGATTTTTTCAGAATAGCCTTATAAAAATGAGATTACGGGTCAAAATTAAATCAGCAGTGATTCTTTTTTTGAATCATAATTCCCCTTTGGAGATAATTGCACTAATGAGACCTCAGTCCAATTAGGCTTCCATTGAGGGCTGTAGGTCAGGGAGTTTGACACTACGGCAGAATCAGCCCTAAATATGTGAGCTGTCTTATGAATGTAAAATTAACATATGCTTAACATGCTATTGTGAATCAAAGCCTGATAGTTAAATCATTGGGGCTTAAAAATAGAAAGTGCAACAAATGGCTCATAATAGCCATAACAGTCCGTTAGAACTTTCTTTTTAAAATGACACTGTTGGAACATATTTTGTTTACATTATTGTAATTGGACAATTTGTATAAGTGTAATGACCTGTTTAAGTGCTCCCTAAGAGTCGAAGTAGTTAACTGTCATTGGTGTTAGGGTGCCACAGTTAGGGACTACTTCTTGAGAGAGGAGCTTATAAATAAGTTACTACAGAGGAGCGCATGAGCTTCCTGCATATTAGCTATGTACGTTAGCTGCCTGGGTACATGTTGTTAATTCATACTGTCTGCAGTAAATGGGAGACACTTATTCATCTTTCACTGAAAGGTAAGTGAGGAGGTGTCCTAGCCATGAAAGATGGAATTTTGCAATGGCAATGTTTTGGAAATAGAAACTGATACCTAGATACTAGCCTATGATTAGTTCTGCCTTTTAAAGCAGTGTTCTGAGATCCAGATGTAATTACTCAAAATAGGGAAGCAGCTTTACAAACAAGTAATAGCCTCATTTGATGTCATTTGCGTAGGTCATCACAAAAGTACAATCACAAGATGCTGCTTTGATCCCGATAACAAAAGAGTGACTTCGGTATCATACGATAAGACGATAAAGCTATGGGATATGATAACACAATCCGCCTCAATTACAATTAAAGAGTAAGAAACTATACAGTAGTTAATTTAGCATAATTAAGCGTAGGATTATTTGTATCTTACAATTATCAGTCAGCGAGATTTCTGATGAGATTTGTACTAGAGAAAATAAACAATAATTGTTTAACTAAAGTATTAATTTTTTAACTGAAGTATCTCCTTCTGTAAGTAATTGAAAAATTGTGTTTTGTTGTCTGTAAGCATTTCTAATGCTGATTTTCAGAACTTCTAGGTCCTTAGATATAAGTAGCAGGAAAAGCAGAAGACAGCATATGCAATATGGTAGTGAAGTGTGAACTTCTGGTTGTGTTTTCTACCAGTTGGGAAAAATGTATTTTCTACCAATTGGGAAAAATGTATATTCATTAACAAATGAGAACATAAATCTTACTTAGAATAATGAAAAGTTTTTTAAAGCATTATGGAGTGGAGCAAAAATAATACAGAGGAAAAGGAAAATATATCTCCATGTTAAGAAAGGATAATTTATCATGTGTTCTTACACTATTTTGTTCCTAAATATCTTCCATGAAGTCTTCACAGCCTTCCAAACAACCTATTCCACGGCCTCCCTATGTTGATCATTAGAAAGATTTTCCTAAGGTGAATCATTTTGGCTGCAGCTTAAGTCCACATGCTTCTTTTCAGATCTGCTTTGGACATGGAGAATGAGTTATTCCCTTGTTTTCTTCCACGCTTTTTTACATATTCAAAAATTTTATTATGTCTACTGAATCTTCTTTTTGGTAGGCTAAGTCATCCTTATTCATTTAATGTTTAATTATTCTTTGCTTGTCTTCTGATCGTTCTCGTTGTTCATCTCTGAGATCTTTCAGACTGGTCCACATTGTTCTTGCAGAACTTTGATGTAGTCCATTGTCGCCAACCTTTAGCTGTGCGGTTGATTATTTGTATGTTAGTACAGAACGTCGGACAGGGCGAAACTCACCTGATCAGGTAGCTCATGGATTAGATAATGGATTAAAACACTAACAGTGTTTCTTATAAACTGCAGTGACTACAGCATTGTTTCCTGTGGAGACTGTTACAACCCTTTTATTTTCCTGATCATTTCTTTAATTTGTCAAGATCATTTTCAATTTTAGTTCTCTCCCCAGTATAATTGCAGACCCCCCTTGGCTTCATTTCATAACTTTACTCTTTGTCCCGTTATCCACATTGTTAATGTGGACCCCAGCTCAATATGTACTTCCATTTTCACAGTGAACCAATTATGACCACTCTCTGGGTGCAGAGATCATTTTTTCAGGTCATTTTTCCTTATATCCTTTTAGATAACATGTCGCACACAGTGCTAAAAGTCTTGCTGAATCTGAGCTCCTGAACCCTCACGTGCCAAACCCGTACAACTCTCATGGAAGTCAGTATTACATTAAAGCATTATGTCTATTTACAGTGTTGTTATCATTTTAAGAAGGAAGAAGGCAACAATGGAGATAACAAATCAGCTGTTAAAAATATTAGCAATGGCTTTAAATAAACTCAACCAATTTAGCTTTGAATTATGAAACAATAATCAAAGAGAGTCTGCCTTTAAACAAAGTAATAAAATTGTCCTTTAAGGGATTAGGAATTACTTTGGATGGGAAATTCAATCTGGAGCATTGTAATAATGTTTCTTTTAAATTGCAGTGACTACAGCACTGTTTCCTGTAAGAGATGCTCATAATCTTTTCCCCACTGTAGCTTTCAGGAACCACTAGAACCCTCACCCCATTCTGGAACCTTCAGATTTCTTTTCTGGCAGGTATCATCTCTTCCAAAGTTAGACTTTAATATAGAATTGATTAATCTTTTCCTATGAGTGTTTGATTTTAAACTTATATTATAGCAGTAGATGCATACTGTTTATTTCATGAGTAACGGGTGACTTTTTCAGGAACTTGCTTTTAATAAAATGTGGTTGTGTTGCAGCTATTAAACTATTTTTTGTTAAGCTGCGTTCAACAAAAAAAATAGGTGGTCACCTCTCATTTAACAGCTAGGGTTCAATCCTGCAAAACAATCTAAGCCAATAAGACGTTTAAAGCCCATGCTGGCTTTGGGGTTGTTACCAGCTCCAGAGACTTAACAGAAGTCTTCAGGTGGTTAAAATTCAGAATGTGCTTAGAGCGCTTTACTGGATGGAGACAGAGTGCTCAGTGCTTGCAGGAGGATATCAGAGAGATTTCTAATGGTTACAAAAACTCACCAGCCCAGTGTTTTTCATCTGTATTTCAGGGGACATACCAATGCTATCTCAGATTGCTGCTTTACCACAGATGGTCATTACTTGTGCACAGCATCCTGGGACAAAACCTTAAAAATATGGGATATAAAGACAGGGGAGTTTCGGTGTCGTGGACCTATTTCCTTGAACCAAGGACATGAGGGATCTGTTAGTTCCTGCCTTTTCAGCCAAGACGGTGAGTTATCTTATAGGACATTATCCTTTTCATCTGATGTAGGACATATCAGATGAAACACAAGTGACCGCTTTAACTCATGTAAGTAATTAGTTTATCATTTCCAAGACAGCGTGTTTTAATTATGAAAAAAATATGTCCATGTAATAAGTAAATTGAAATTGGTGGTCTATGTTCTGCCTTAATCAGACAACCGGAACACTACTGGAATGATATATCCATCAAGAGGTATAATCAAAGATCACAAAGGAGTAAAAATACAATACTATGTCACAAGATTAACTTAGCGCTTGCCGCTATTCTCTTAACATTGAAGATTAGTCAAACGCTGTGTTCAGTAAACGCTGTACTGATCTGTACTGATGAGGAAAATATAGACATTTTTGATAGTACCTCCAGAAGTAAAGCTACTTCATAATCCAAACAACATTTGGCAGTGATGTGGTACTTCTGAAAAACTTAATAGTGTGTTCTCAGGTACGCTGATAGAGCACAAAGTGCACGTACTGTGTTCAAAGTAGTTGATATTTATGAGTTACAGCAAGACAATTTGTCACATGGAACTTGATGCCTACGTAATGCTCGGGTGAATAGGAGGAGAAGAGGGACTCCCCAGTTTACCTGTATCTGAGGGGAGGCAGTGAGGAGCTATTCCTTATGTGTTTTCTTTCGCTAGTTGACAGACAACTGCTGGTCCCTCCACAAACATTAAATCCATGTTGCTGCAAGTTGCTGTTGTGCTTGAAACCGCTTCTCTTCTCTTTACTGGGATGGGCTGATACGAATTTCTATACGTTGTAATCTAATTGGCTGTTTCCTTTTGCAACTTCCTATCTGAATGCTGCAGTGAGGAAGACTCCGGAGCTGCTGACACCTGCTTAACCCGCAGTCCTACCTAAGCAGAGCTTTCTGAGTTAGGCACCTCAAATAAATAAACAAATAGCAAATTTGCAGGAAAAGAAGTATCTGTGGCTTGAAGACATCCAACAGGGTAGCATGAACTGGACTGGCAGAAACTGTTTTACAGAATAAAACCTATGAGTAGTGGAATCTGAATGCATCCTTTCCACCCTAAACTCTTTACTTTTTTGTTTTTATTCAAAGGTGACCTAACAATTCTAAAAATCCACTGTATGTTTTAATTTGCAAACAAAGTATCTCCTTAATTTTATAAGTCAAAAAATTTTTCATGTATATTTTTTCCATTCAGTTGTGTCTTTGCTAGATTTACATTTAGTATTCACAAAAACAAGAGTAGTAACAACAAATAGCAGAAAGGAACATCTAGTATCTTGTTAAGGCATGACTAATAGTTCATTATTTCAATTTTATTAACAAGTCTGACTCACTGTTGGAAGGAGCCTCTTTTATTAGTCTGTATGATAGAGCAAAGAAATAATACAGTAATCTGCTTTTATATTTCAGCAACACTTGTTGTGTCTGGCGCATATGACAAAACCATAGCTATATGGGATACAGGTGCAGGCTGTAAAAAGCTAAGCTTAAAGGTACTAACTTCCTATTTGATAACTAGTTTGGCGAGAAGGGACACAGTATGTTGGTTGTATAAGTACACAGTGTATTTTGTTATCTGATAAATACCCTTGCCCATCCCTTTCAGTTATAGGCAGGAATATATCCTGTATTGGTGTGATTTACTTTCCTAGAACTGAATATTCTTATACAATTACTTGCAAAGAATTTTCTTTGTCAAGCTAGTTATTAATGTGCTATTGTGTTTCCTTCTATGAAAAAGTCCAGTTAATGCCTCTATTTTAGAGGATTATTTCCTCCAGCAAGCAGCAAGAGCCTAGATCATGTGTACGTTAGTCTTGCGATGTCACGCTCTGTATGCCTCTACATCTACAGAAAATATTATATTAAAAGGGAAACATTCTGACAATTGTAAATATCAGGTTGTCGGGCTTAACTCAGTCCCTAGGCTGCATGTTTTATATTACTGCTTATAGTGACAGGGACAACTCTGTGAGTGAGTCAGCTATTCAGGATTCAGTTATCCCTGCTTACAGCTGGGCCTCTTCTCTTCCTCCATGTCCATGGTACTACTACCCAAGGTTTGAGGGGGTAAGTAGTACATGCATGAAATAAAAAAGCTCTAATCGCATTAGTTTTTTTGTGCCATCATGTGTTAAAACACCTTTAATTCATTTCTTATTTCAGCGGAAACAATCTACAAGACTCCAGCTAATGATCAGACATGTAGGTCAAAGAAAAGGATTAACAGTATTCATAAAGTTACGTCAATGCTTTTTACAAACAGTAATTTCACGGAAGTCAAAAATGTCAGATTTGCAACCTTAGCTGTTTCCTATCTTATGGAAGTATAATTTCAATGGACAACTTTTTTTGTTTGGACTTGATGCATATGCTGGTTAGGGCTTAGTGAAAACACTCACCTGGATTTCATAATTAACTGTCGTCATCACTTCCAAACCACAATACTCTAAGTAACTGTTTGTGCAAGGGAGAGAGAAAATCCTGTGTCTGCTGAGCCTTCCTGTCCTCCCTCTGTTTCCCCAGCAATGGTGGAATCTGTTACTGTCAAATGATTTAGCCCTAATATACACTGTTGTAAGTGAGACAAGAACCAACCCTGTTGTTTTCCATAAATTTGTAAATACCAGCAAACGCACCTAGAAGATCTTAGAAAAGTCTAGTTTCTTTCAAAGGCTTTTCAGCTTAAAAATAACTTTCAACTTCTGTCTGCGTTCAAGGTAGTATCTTTATGTAGGAAACCTTGTAAGCCTGGGCCTCACTGCTATTAGGGTAAACATAAGCTTGCCTACCCTCCTGAACTGGAACTGTACCGATTAAACCTTCTGAGCAGTCACACTACACGTTTTCCACCAGCATAGGTGTTGCTCTACTTCATACAACCACTTCAGATTTCCCAGTTCCCAGCAGTCAGTGTAAGTGTCTCAGTTTCCCATAAAACGGGAAGGCATCTGTTGGAATGCTAATATCTTTGTAACTATGGAGAATTCCAGTTTAGTGTCTACATCTTGGTATAAATACATTCTGTGCTCATAACTAAATTTAAAAAGCACGTTTTAAAGATTCTGCTCTAAAAAAGCACTCACATTTCATGTATGCATGCTTGCCTTTTTCTCTGTGCTGGAAAAAATGAGAGGTTTATTCATCTTTTGTAATGTATTTCTCAGGTGTGGCATTTGTCTATCAAAATGATGCCAAGCCTTCTCGAACTCTAGGAATTTTAAGTGTTAATTCCATTCATGTCTGAATAACCTCATTAGTTGGAGTATACTTTGTAGATACTTTGATTTTAACCTGTTTCTGTTCTTAGGGTAACTCAGTGCTGTTAAACCTCAAATCAGCTGTGCGGCTGGTGGCTGGACATCCAGCACAGCTGCTTGACTTGGCCTGCTTTCTGAGTTGGTCTCCTTCCTTTGAGTCGGGGGCAAGTTGCTGTCCCTCCTCACAGCTCTTCCCTTCAAGAGCACGCGATAAACAGCCTCAGTTTTTTAGACAGTGAGTGCTAGAAACCAATTCTGTCTCTTTGCAATTATTTAGCAAGCTGACTAAAAAAACTAGAAGAGAGTTCTGGATAAACGGGGCTTAGACCCACGGCAGCTGCATGGGTACAGGGTTTCTGATTGCTGCGAGGGGTAGCTAGTCTGCTGGCCAAGATTTTAACAGCCTGTTTTCAGGTATATGCATCAGAAAACATAGCCTCATGGCAGCATTTTTTCGTGAGTGGACATGAGGCAGCATAGATAAGAATTTTCTCACTGCATGTCAAAATGGATTTACAGTAGATAGTTGTTTTTACTGTTATAAAAGTAATAAAGTTTTTTCTTTGGGTCATAGTTACATCTTGCTTTACTGTAGGGTCACTGGGACTGGGTGACAGATGTTGCAATTAGCAAAAACAAGAAATGGATTCTTTCTGCCTCAAAGGTATTTACTAATTTCCTGATGTGGTTCAGGGAGCTAAATTATAAATGGATTTGAAGATTTCATCCCTGTTTTCAGCATTTGTTAGAAAAAAAATTAGCAGTGATAAAGTTGCTCATACAACTTGTAAATTGTAATCAGTGATCATCTCAAGTAATTACAGAAATTGCAAAAAAAATAATTTGATAAGTATGTTTATTGCTGGTTATTCTAAAATATGTATATGCAGGGTTAAGATTACTAAAATTGTTTCCAAAAACATGATAGTTAAAAACAAACCTTCTCACTTGAAGTTTTCATAAGGCATGTGTTTAATAACCCAGATTCTGTAGGTGAGAGTGAAAATGATGTAATCACTGTTTTGGTAATATATAAACTTATCAAAATAATTGATGCTTTTTCTCAGGATTCTACTCTGAGACTGTGGAATGTCGACAAGGTGGATCATATTCCTTCCGTGATGGAGAAGAGCAAAGCAAGAGGCTCCAAAATAGTTCAGGTTCTGTCTTTTTATTGTCTAACCACACCTCCTACTTTATTCAGAAATGGAATTGGAATGTTAGAGGAAAGCTAGCAGATTTGCTAGTTGAAAACAGATTTATTTTGTTGTCCTCTCCTTGCAAAGGTCTTTGAATCCTTTATTAGGGGAGGGTTGCAACAGTAACAGTTCTTTTCGTTCTTAAAACTGATCTTGGTAAGGACACCGATTTTCATATGCAAATTATTTTTTGCTGTTAGAAAACACAGTAAGCCATGTATGTGTAATTTTAAAACACTATATTTTGACTTTCTACACCTAATGCTTCTGCAAAGTAATACGCCTGTTTAGGAGTATTGCTAACCCAAGGCAGTAATATTCATGCGCTCATGGACGTAAATCAGCTTATACAAATTCTGAGGGGTTTCTTTTTCTCAGACTGCGTGTGCCGTGGCTTCTAAAACAAGAATTATAAATAGATAGATGTTGGCAAAAAAGGAACATTAAGAAGCTTAATGCTATTGAAACATGTTTTTTATTATAGTCTCTCAATTGTTTTTGATAGTAGATTTGGAAGATATTGTGTGTGTTTTCTTCCCTGTCAATAGCCATTAAGTGAAATTGAACGAAAAATAACACTTTTTTTTTAGTATGAATCTGATGTTTTTATCAGACTTTCCCGTTGAATATGAAGCTTTTCAAAAGCAGTGTTCAGCTTTTTAGGCTTTTAAATAAGTTTTAGGAATGTGACAGCAGTGAAAAGGTGATGTACGTTGCTAAAAGTATCAATTGATAGGACTTTGTGAATACAATTTAGTACAAAAAATGATTTGCACTTCAGCATATAGAACAATTAGAAAAATATGTCTCTAACTTTTCTGGAAATTATTTTATGAGTAGTGAATTGGTAGCCAATGTTATGCGGACTCTATTAGAAACTGCATCAACTTTCATGAATATGCTTTATCAACAGCAACACTTCCCACTGATTACAATGGGTTAATATTTTATTCACAATGATTACATTACACAGCAGTTTTCCTTCTTTTTGTCTTTTTTTTACTACATGTCTTTTTAAATCAAAATTATTAGGTCAGATAATGGCCAGGGGAAAAAAAAAGCAGACAGCCCCCCCCCCCACCCCGGGATTAGCACTAAGGCAAAACAGTTAAAAGCTGGATACCCATCAAGCTACCCTCCAAACATAAAGCATGATACTGTATTAGTTAAATCAATGTCACAGTCCACATAAAACACAGCTTTATTCAGAAGAACATAGACATCACAGGAGTAAATTTTGAGCAGCACCAGCTCTATGTCAAGGTTATGACAGCTATGTGCGCTGAGTGCATCTGAAAAATCAGGCCTACATATATGTGTGTATAAACAGCTGAACTTCCCTGAGTGAAATAACGCAAATCTGTCACAAGTGATTAACTGGAGTATCATTTTTGTTATATTTATGCTAGTGTGAAGAATGTGAAAAGCCTTTCTTATGCCTGCATTGCAGTGACTCCGAAATGAAAACCAAGTGTGTATTCTGTCGTCTCTCTTCTCCCGTGAGAAATATTTGGCCATTGCCACCTTCTGTTTCTCCTGATATTTAAACTCATCCAGCAGTCCTGAGATGTTAACACATTTAAATATATAAATGGAGTGCTTACATCTTATATACTGCATGTGTAAAACTAAGGGTTTCCTCTGAACTTGCTCTACTTTGGTGCTCTGTATAAAGAAAAATCAAATATGTTGTGCTAATCCATTGAATAGTTGTGACATATCCTCACAATACAACAGGTGAAGAATAAAATCCCTAGGAGCTGAAATCTATTTACACTGTGTGATACTAGAAAATAACATTACTTCCCTGGCCTTTGGTAAATTAAAAAAAAAAAACAAATTTAAATTAGTATATTAGTTACAAGTTCAATTTATTTTCATAAACCACTCTTTTTTTTACTATGGAACACAAAGAACCTGTGCTCTCAGTGGCCGTCAGAAAGAGTTTTGTGAGTAAAACCATGCATAAGACCATGAACTTCTTACCAACTTGTTGCCATACTCCTTACAACAATTTTGTGAAGGAGCTTTCAGTCAGGAGAGTAAGTTGTAATGGTGCAGGACAAAGTACTGCTGTGTAAGAAAGGCTCGCCCCAGCAAGGAGCATGGCATTTTTACCACCCTTTTTTAGCAGCACCCCAAGAGGATTATATCTATTACTATATGTGAGAATGTCAGTTAATAAAAGATTAAATGTTTCAAAATGCTTGAAAGCCTTATTCCTAAAAAAAAAAAAAAAAAAAAAAAGTTTGCAATCTTTTCAATGTTTCTTTTCTAAAAGGAACTTAAGAGTGGGGAAAATGCTTGGAACTTGGCACGTGCCAGCCTGGAATGCAGTTAAGCTGTGGAATAGAAAGAAATCTATTATACATAGGTAGATTCTTTTAAATTTTTTAATTATGTAAGTCGTGTAGCAACAATTACACTTGAATCCAAGGTTAAATGAGAAGCATTTCTAAGGAATGGTATGTTTTACACAGATTTACAGCCTTGAATAAACATTAGGTGATAAGTGGCGTTATTTTCCAGCATTTTCTCCCTCCTCTTTTCTTAACTAAATATCATTGTTTTCTTATAGAAGCTTAAAGAAAATGCTATGTGCTCCTGATGTTATTTTTTAATGGAATATATAGAATATACATGTTTTATTGCTGGAAAAATTTGTTTTGAATGTAGCTGGTAATACTGAACTGACTTCTGTATGTTTGAAATTATTAGTCATAGAATAATTAAATAATGTTATAATAGAATTGAGAATGTTCTTTGTTTCTCTCTCTCTACCATTTTCAGATGAAAAAGCACTGAAAGTGGGGGATGGAAACAATTGTTCTATAGATTATTGGTTCATTTTACATTAGTAATGTGCATGGGTTGGAAATTTTATTTTGAATGAAATTTTTTATTATTATTTCCCAGATTACGAATAGCAGGTACAATGATTCTTGCATTCTGGTTGCATAAAATCAGTAAGCAGTATTGCTTACGTAACAGAATCAATTTGAATAGACCATGACAAAAGAGTAGAAGAGATTCTACACACATGAGAAACGCTTAATACTTGGGAAGTGTTTGTACCCTGTTCGTAGACCGATTGGAGAAGACAGTCTGAACCAAGGCGCTCGGGATTTGTTGCACGAACGGCAGCCCAAGACGTGCCGGAGCATCGGCCCTTCGCAGCTCTCTCCTCCCTGGCTGGCGGCGCTGCTGCCTGGCCGTCCTTTCCGTCCCCTTCTGCTCTGCCACCGCGCTCGTCACCGTAGGATCCCAGGGCCTTCCAGTACCGGACGAAGCAACGTGGCATCTGTCAAATGCCGCGTGGTTTTGCCTCCTCTCCAAAGGTACTGAAACGCGGGCAGAGGAGTTTAATCCTTTTTTTTTTTTCTTTGTATTTTTGCAAGGGGGGGGGCACTATTTTCATATACATGTTACTGTAATTTTATGTGAAAGAAGGCAGTCAGAGCATCACGTGTGGAGCAGAAGACAGTGAAGTTCGAGTGTCTGAAGACTTCCTTCAGCAGCCTGGGGCTGGCTCTCGTCTCCTGCGG